TAAGAACAATTCAACTAATAACTGGAGACAAGAAATGCATTCATGTAAATAAAGGATAACAGTTTTCAAATATTGATGTAATGGCTCAAAAGATATTATTTTGAATACAGGAATAATATCTTTGATCTTTTCTTTGAACACATTTTCTGTTCAATTATTTCTAATATGAAAAGCTTTTTATATTTTGGTAAGAATGATTGATTTAAGATTCATCCACTCATCAGATTTGTATGAGCACACTACAACTACAGGAAGAATTTTGCTGAGATTTTTTGAACTTACTTGCACACTTGAAGCCTTTATGCCTGTTGCATTGATTTTCATTGCTTTTCCTCTGCTGTGATAAAATCCATGGCCAAGAGGGTTTGTTTTGGCTGGTGGTTCCAGAGAGATAAGGGTCCATCATGGTGGGGAGGCACAGCAGCAAGCAGCAGGAGGCCGGGAGATGTTATTTTCAATGGAGACAGGACGCAGAGAAAGTGAACTGGAAGTGGGATGAGGCTAGCAACTCTCAAACCTTATGCCCAGTGGTGTATTTCCTCCACTAAAGTCTTACCACCTCTCCAACTACCACCACCAACTGGGGACCAGGTGCTCAGATACATAAGCCCATGGGGGACATTTCTCCTTTAATCACCACACCTATTAATTAGCAGTTTCTCAACTTATGTTTCAACCTTGTCTTGGTATCCAAGCTTCTAACTTTTATTTGTATGAGTTTAAATCTCGTATAAATAGAATTATGAAGCAGTTGTCATTTTGTGATTGGCTCATTTTGTGAGTGCATCACCCTCACAATTAAATCATATTGTTGCCCATTTTTTCCTTTTAAAGAATAAGTGATATTTCATTATATGTGTTTTCCACATTTTTGTCATGTAGTCATTTTGATGGGCATCTGAGTTGTTTCCTCGACTCAGCTACTGTCAGGAGTGCTGTCAAGAAGCCTGGGTACCAGTGTCTCTTCCTGAACATGATTCCAAAGATTCCTTTTCGTTTGTTTTTTTGAGACAGGGGTTCTCCGTGTAACAGCCCTAGCTCTCCTGCAGCTCGTTTGGTAGACTAGGCTGGTGTCAAACCTACAGAGACCCACCTGCGTCTGTCTCCCAAGGGCTGGAATTAAAGGCAGGTGTCAACACACCTGGCTAATTCCAATTATTTATAATAAATACTAATAAGTGGGGTATCTATGTCATATGGTAATGCTGGGAACAGGCAAAAGCATTTTGTCCTAAGTGCTGTCATTTTGACTTCAGACTCCATTGTACCTGCAGGGTGAAACAAAGTTCAGGTTCCCAAGCCCTAGGGGACCTGGGAATTGTTCAGCAGTTGACACACCCCTACCTAAACCGTGGAAATAGTTGTTATACACCTGTAGTTCTCGAGAAACATTATGGCTATTTCTAATAACAGAGGGATCAGAAGAATCTGACTGGCTGGACTGAAAGGCTTGCATTGTATGTTGGTTGACAATGATGGAACACTTAAGGAAAATCCCCATTTTTAAAAATTCTGATGGGTGAAAATTGTAACTGTAACTTGGGAACAAATGTTTGTGATTTTTGTGCTTAAATACTTGCTTAAACTGACATTCAGTTTGAAGTTCAGCTCCCGAGTCTGTTCAGTTTCTCCCCTTGTCCCCTTCTTTTGTGCCGTCTGTATTAAATCTTGCTTTGTGGTAACCTCTTGTGTTTCCTTGGGTTGATTTGGAGCCTTTGGACCACAACAGTAACTTTATTTTTAGTTTTTTGAATAGATTTTTATACTTTTTTTTTTCTTCTTTGAGACAAGTTTTCTCTGTGTAATAGCTCTGGCTGTCCTGGTACTCACTTAGTAGTTCATATTGGCCCCGAACTCATAGAGATCTGCCTGCCTCTGCCTCCTGAGTGCTGGGATTAAAGGTGTGCACCACCACTTCCTGGGTATATACTGTGTTTCAACAGTGGCTGCATCATTTTACCTTTTCTAACATTGTGTTAAGTGTTTATAACTCTTTGCATCTTTGACAAGAGTATTGTCTTTAGTTTTTTAAAAATATAAATGCATTTATTTATTCTATATACTTGGTATTTTGTCTTCATGTATTTATATATGTGTACCATGTATGTGCTATGCCTGAAACAGTCAGAAGAGAGTGTTGGATCCCCTGGAACTGAAGTTAACAGAAGGTTGAATCACCAAGTGGATGCTAGGAACAGAACCAGGGTCCTTTGAAGAGCAGCCAACGTTTTTAACTGCCAAGTCATCTCTCCAGTACTGTCTTTTGATTTGTTTATGATTATTATTATTTTACTATCTTTGTTTTTGATAGTAGCTATCTTAACATGGTTGAGGCCCTGTATTGTGGTTTTGATTTACAAAATCCTTAATGATTTATGTCACTGAGCATCTTCTTATATACCTGTTGACTATTTGTATGTCTTCTGAGAGAAATGTTCATTCATGTTCTTAGGTCATTTTTAGATTAAATATTTAGTTTTTAAGATGTTCAGTATTGAGTTGTGTGAATTCTATGCGTGTTTTAGAGATTAACCTTTTTTCTGATGTATAATTTTCAAACATAGTATCTTATTTTGTGCCATTTTCACTCTGTTATAATAAGCCTTTTAGCTTCATGATGCCTTTGAACCTATCTTTGCTTTGTGGCTCATGTATTTGGCATCATCCCTTGATTCAGTTGCCCAAACCAAGATCTGGAATATTTCCTTTTATGTTTCTTGTAGGTATTTTATAATTTGGATCTAATGTTTAAGTCATAAATCAATTTTAAGGATTTTTTAAATTATTTTACCTATGTGCATGTATGTGTGTGTGTGTGGACATGTATGTCTGTACACATATATGTAGAGGTACCCACAGATACCAGAAAAAAACCTTGGATCCCTTTCAATTGGAGCTAAAGGCTCTTGTAAGTCACTGAACGTGGGTGCTGGGAACTGAACTGTAGTCCTCTTGAAGAACTAGTGCTCTTAACCTTTGAGGCATCTTTCCAGCCCTCAGTCTTTAACCCATTTTGAATTAAATCCCCCCACCACGCATGTGTGTGTGCACATGTGTGCAGGCATATGAGCATGTGTATGCATGGAGAGGCCAGAAGTCTCTCTGGGATCTGAGACTAACCAATTAGCTAGGCTGGTTTGCTAGAGAGCCCTTAGGATCCTCTTGTCTTTGTTGTCCAAGTGCTGGGATCACAAAGGCACATCGCTCTGCCAGGTTTTGGTACTAGAAATCTAATTCAGGTCCTGCATTTTACTAACTGAAACATATCACCAGCTCCAAGCTGCTCATTTATAAATTAGTATCCACTGTAGACAGTACTAGATGTCATAAAGACATTTTCATATAAGTATATAATATACTTTGAACATGGTCCTCTCTCATACTCTGTACCCTCCTCTTCCTCATGTTAGTTTTCTTTTTCACTCTTTTCTGGGGGTATTGAGACAGGGTTTGACCCAGGTTAGTTTTGAACTCTCTTTGTAACAGAGGATGAGCTTGCTCTCCTGGTTCTCCTGTCTCCATCTCTCAAGAACTAGGATTATAGGCATGAATCATATAGTTGTGTAGTGCTGGGGATCAAGCTTCCTATTTGTCAGACAGGGATTCTTCCAACTAAGTTACACTCTTAAATCATGAGTTGATTTTTGTGTTATGGTGTAAAATAAAATACAAAATCTGTCACAATATGTTTGAAGAACTGTCAGATAGAAGTGACCTCTAGAGAGGAGAAACAAAAGGACCCGTAGAAGGATGTGAGTCATAGACAGACCTTAGCCTGAGATGCAGTTTAACAACTCGAGTTGTTTTGTAAGGGATGGTCCATCTTACAAGGTAGTGATGACTCCTACTGAGAGCCAGCGCAGATCCTGATGACTGTCCAGAAGAAGAAACGCTTTTTGATTTATACTATGTGTATGAGTGTTTTGCCTGTATGCATGTATGTGTACCACATGTGTTCAGTGCCTGAGGAGGTCAGAAGAGGGCATCATCTTTCCTAGAACCGGAGTTAGGGATGGCAATGAACAACCATGTGGGTGCTGGGAACTGAACGCAGGTCCTCTGCAAGAACAAGAGGTGTTCTTATCCACTGAGCCATCTCTCCATCTCCAAGAGGAAGAAAAGAAGAAGAAATTCTCAAAAATTGTAAGATTCAGTGATGCTTGTTTTCATCATTCCCATTATTTTCACTTATTAAATTAAACAACTTTCCCCTTTTTGCACTTTTTCATTATTGGAAATCTCTCTTTTTTTGGCATCTAAATAAATTCCTAACCTAGCTTCAGGTGTTTTATTTTGCAATTATAAGGGGGGATATAAATGGCCCTACCTATTGATAAAAACATGATCAATGGAAATCTCTTTAAAAGTTCTGAGCCCCTATGTGAGTTTTCATTTTGATTAATAACAACAATATACAAAAGAAAAATTCTCGTACATGTTGCTTTTATCATTATTTATTACTATTATTTAAATTTTAATTTTTTCCATTAAGTACCTAGTTGTACAATAAGCAAACTTGAGCCCTCAGAGATGGGGAAGCTTGTCTGCATTTACATATGGTCCTATTGGCAAAGCAAGCCCAAATTATAAGAACATCACATAGAGAGTTTAGCCTTTAGATTTGTAGATACTGTGTTCTCATCTTAGATATAACATTTTTAGCTACTTATATTTTTTCCTTCTGAAAAATTAGCATGGCATACACGAGTTAATCCGTACAAAGTGCCTGGTATGTAACAGCTGCCCTACGAATGTTGCTTTGCCACTCTCCATTCATGTCCAGGGCATAATATTGCTTTATTTTCAGAAAGACAGAAGCACAGATTTTCTCTGGAAGTCAAATCAGACTTTGTGTCTCCAAGTGATGAGGACATTTCTGAATCATGCATGTCATTCCATCACTATCTTATTATTATAATCAGTTGTTTTATTTGTGTTGAGGCAGGATTTTCCTATGTAGCTTAGTCGGCTTCTGCCTCCTGAGTACCAGAATCACAGATTGCACCATGTATGTCTGGAACCTTCATAATTAGTAATAGAATTCCATTTTATTTTCAGAGTGCCTTGATTAAAATAAATCACAAGTTCACCCTCCCTAGAACTTTCTCAAGGCCTTCTTTAGAGCGTCTTTCAGTTCCTTGTTCCTCATACTGTAGATCAAAGGGTTTAAAATGGGTGTGATAAAAGTGTAGACCACAGACACCATTCGGCCCATCTCAGGAGAGTAGCTGGAACTGGGAGACAAATATATAAAACTGGTACAGCCATACTGCAGGAGCACCACTATGATGTGGGAAGAGCAGGTAGAGAAGGCTCGATGTCGCCCTTCAGCAGACCGGATCTGTAAAATGGCTGTGATGATGAAGACATAGGAGACGGAGATCAGAGACAGGGGGATGCTCAGGACGATGAAGCTGATGATAAACAGGGCGGTCCTGTGAACGTGTGTGTCTGCACAAGCCAGGCGCATGACTGCAGGCATGTCACAGTAGAAGTGATAGATCTCATTGTTGTGGCAGAACGGGAGATGGAAGATTAAAATAGTTAGTGTCAGTGACAGAAGGAATCCCAGGACCAGGGACCCCACCACCATCTCCACACACAAGGACCAGCTCATGATAAGTGTGTATCTCAGGGGGTAGCAGATTGCGACAAACCGGTCGTACGCCATGACTGCAAGCAGGACATTGTCAGCTCCACCCAAGAAGACAAAGAAAAACATCTGAGTGCCACAACCAGTAATGGAAACAGGAGTTTTTCCCATTGAGAGAAGGTTTGCCAAGGCCAGAGGTGCAATGGCTGATGTGTAGAAGATTTCCAGAACTGCCAAGTTAGCCAGAAAAAAGTACATGGGGGTGTGGAGCGAGTGGTTAGTATGGACAACCACAGCGATTGTGGCGTTTCCAATGAGGCTGGTCAGGTACATCACTAAAAAGGCCACAAAAATCACCATCTGCACCCCAGGGTCAGGTGAGAATGGACGGAAGAAGAAATGGATATTAGCAGTTTTATTTATTGTTTCCATGGGGAGTGTACAAGGCCTACCTCAAAGAAAAATGGCGGGAGTCTCAAGGCATTCCTCACTGTGTATGATGCCCTGCTTCAACCTCCATTCCCTGCTAGAGCTCCTTCTAAGGCACCTCAGCAACATGCATAGTTTATTCCACAGGAGTCCATGGAACCGATGACCTATACATTTGCCATCTCCTCGTCTCTCTTTTCTTCCTCTCCAGTAACAAAGACTGAGAAATCCTCAGTCCTGGGAACTCTGATGACATCTGAGTGCAGTGTGAACCACAGTTCCTGTTGTAGAGGAGTTCCCCAAAGTATGCACTGAACAAATCAATGAATAAGACCAATTAAAAGTTCAAAGCCGCAAAACGGAGAAACAGAATATAGATTCTATGAAACTTAGACTAAAAATTGTTATGACTGTATAGACAGATGTGTGTCATCATTTAGAGAGAATTATGCTACTGGTATTGTATGATACTGTATCATAAACTCTTGTGTTTCTCAAAACCTAGAGTCTTTATTGCTTCATTTTCTTTTTGCTGTTGTTGAGAAAGGGTGTCCTGTAGCCCAGACTGAGCTCACTGTGGAGCCGAATCTAATCAGACTTCTGTCCTTCTGCCTCCATCTCCTGAATGCTGGATTGCTGTTGTGGGCCACCATGCCTCGTTTTATGGGGTCCTGGTGTTTTGTACCTGCTAGGCAAGAACTTTACCAACAAAGTTGAATCCTACCCCTGAGTCTGCCTTGTTTTTCTTAACATGATGATCTCTAGTTCCATGAAATATCCTGCAAATGTGACTGCTTTTTAATGCTTACATTCCATATACACATTCATATATACATATATAATTATGTACATATATTACAGGATACAGGACATATAATACATAGAATAATAATTATGTATTATTATATTATCTGTATATGTATATTGATTTTTCATGACAGGGTATCTCTGTGTAGTCCTGGTTGTCCTAGAACTCACTCTGTAGACCAGGCAGGCCTTGAACTCAGAGATTTGCCTGCCTCTGACTCTTGAATGTTAGGGTTAAAGGCTTGGGCAACCGCCATTCAGGTCCTAATTATATTTTTTGCTTTTCCCAAATCAGGGCTGGGGTTCTGAGGTCAGCAGCTCATAATGGAGCATGCTTTATTATAAATTTCTTTACTAATCCGTATCACTATTTCAGTAGGCATGCATAGTCAGCACCAAGCCCATCTAACAGGTGAAGACGCACACAGGAGATTAAGGAAGCCAGTGACGCAGGAGAGCATAACCTCGCTTTTCTGCATTCTGTTTCCTATGCTGGCTTTCCCTGACACTCCGGGTTTCCTTACTTTTTCTCTTGACTTCCCAGTCCCCTTTGTCCTGCTGGTGCTTATCTGCCAGGTGGCTGACCTTCGTTGCTGAAGTTAACTCTAAATTAAGAAAGAAAGTCAGTGACAGATGAAGGTGGGAGAGGCAGGCAGAATGTAAATAAGGCGGAAATGAAGTGAGGCGTGGCCCAGCACTTGAGCACCTGCGGTCCCTCATTTCACTGGCTCACTCCCTTCTCAAGAACACATTCCTCTGTCAATAAACTGTCTTCATGTCTCTTTCCAGATAAATAAGTAGGAATAAAGAAAGAAAAAGAGGGTGTCAGACATTCTAGAACAATAACATGGGAAGACCATGGTTTGATCAATTTGGTTACGCAGCATTTCTGCTTACCCTTAGGTTGTATTGTATGGTGGTTGACTACAGTTCAGCCTTAGGAAGAACTCTAGGTGGTCACTGTGGGAAAATATAGCTAAGATAGAGCTAAGGAACCTAGACTGCGGCTCATCCGGTAAGGGCTGCGGGCAACGCAGCAGGAAGAACCTTTGTTCTTTGTCTCTAACAAGCAGGGGGAAAGTATTTGTCTAAAGGCTATGCTGTTTTGGGGTACAGGGAGATGGGGTGTGGTTTAATTTGTCTTTCATGAGCGACAGAGTGGGAATGAAGAAAGCGGCCCTCTGTGAGCTAGGACCTGATCACTGTGCAGTGCCCCAAGGGTTTTCATCAGGTGCCTAGGGTTTGAAACGCCTGCCTCCTGGTTGCCAAGATTCTACTTCAAAGATCAGAACGGTATCTTGAAATTAAAGCAAATCTATACACAGTGACTACTCAGTTCACTGGGACTCTAGTGATGAGAGGTCTCTGTGGTGCCCTCTGTCATGTTCTCTCAAGCCTGCTTAGGCCCAGGAAGTCCCATTTTAGGCATAAATGTTCCTAATTTTAAGGCACTTGTATTTCAGTGACTACATATCTTTCATTTCTTCATAAAGCGTAGAGAAAAGGAGAAGAAAAGCATTGAAAAGTGCTGTCTAAACCAGACAGAACCCCAAGCATCATAATGGTGGCACGGCACCCATGTTATTTTTTATGTAAATGCTTCATGTTCATCGTTTCCCTGCCTACCTGGTGATGAGGAAAACAGTGAGTTAGGGCACATATGGAAGCAGAATTAACTTAGCATATATCAAGAGCTTTTGCCATTGCAACAAAGAGGCTAACTAGATGCAGCCTTTGTAACATGATCCAGAATGTTCCAACATGGCTTTCTAACCATATGATGGCAAATTATTGACCAAACCTTGGGCCTCATGAAAGCATACAGCTCTAAACAGTGCTGACTCCATCTTCACATCAGCCGTGGGGTGACACTGACCACGCATCTTCCCTGACTTGGAATGTGTTCTGTCCTAGGATCTAAAGGGGACAAAGCTGTGTTCCTGGAAAACTGAAGTTACAGGACATTTTAAAAATTATTTCTAATTTGAAAAATTGGGGGAAATAATTTTATATTAAAACAAACATTGGTTTATTTGTGTGACGTTGAGAGTATAAAAACCATAAGATTTCTTTTATAGCATAAAGAGGACTCATGTGAACGAAACTTCTGATTATTTCTTCTCTAATACAATTAAATATTTTCTATTTTATACTACTATGAAATTAAAATTGTCCCTAATTTTAAATAGCAGAGAACTCCTTGAATATATGCATGACTCTGTCTCAAGGCTGATTTAGTGCCGAGCATATATTATCTAACATAGGATGGGTGACCTCTTACTCTTCGGGAACAGATGTTTTTCTCTGCCTGGCAGTTTGACAAGCATGGCTCCACAGTTCTTGAGTTCTTGAAAGGCTCCCAGGCATCAAATGCTGCTTCTGAGTAGGAACTACACGATGGCCTGCTTTGCAAAGCTCCACACTCAACCTCTCCCTGGCCGATGACTGCCCAAGCCTTGGCCTGATGACAGGCACAGGAGTTTTTTTTTTTTTTAATATAAAATCTGAGATAAGGGATGCAATTCTTACCTTTTGATGAACTTCTTTGGACTTCTTTCCATACATTATGAATTTACAAGAATCTTTGGCAAAACTCTGAGAACTCAAGGTCCGTGCCTCAAGGCTTTTGTGTTTTTGCAAAATCTCCAGGCTGCAGTGGTGACCACTTCTAGATCCCTGTTGTTACTTGACAGCATGATGGGAACTCATCTGAAAACCAGACGTGATCCCTCCCTCATTAGCTCTTCTAGGCGTACATTCCACCCTATCCTTTTCTTTGTTCACAGTTACAAATCATTCTTTCCTTATGACATCTTTGCAGCTTTGAACTTACCCTTTTCGTACCAGTTTTCAGATTTGAAAATATTATTAACCAGCAATCATAACTTGGCTAACATGCCATGTTGGCCCCCTGAGGTGACTGAGGTCAGCTCGGGAAGCATAAATTAGCAAGATGAAAAATCACCATACCCAAGAGTTAAGTTACATCAGGGCTATTCCACTGGTACAGCTTCCCCAAGGACTGTGTTTTAGTTCACTTGTTCATGTTTTCAGTGATGAGGTCAGTTGGGGGCAACATAAATTACTGTTTCCACTTAGCTTACCTGAAAGATCATTAACTTGTTTGCTTATTGTTTTTAAAGGTTTAAATTGGGTACACAAAATTTCAAAACAAGGTTTGAGGCAATATAAAAGAGTTGTTAAAAGACTGGCCAGGTCTGATGTTGGGGACATGCTGGCTCAGCTGGCAAAGTGTTTGGGAGTCTTAATTCCCAGCATCCAGGTAAGAAGTTGAGGTAAAACACTTGTAATCCAAGCACTGAAGGCAGAGGCAGGAGAATCTCTGTTGCTGGCCAGCCAGTCTAGCTAACTTGGAAACTTAAACGTTGTCTCAGAAAATAAGGCAGTCATAGAGGAAGACAACGGATGTCAACCTCTGGGAAACACACACACAGAGACACACAGACACACAGACACATACCAAAAGGTCTGGATATATATATTTGGTTTTTCGAGACAGGGTTTCTCTGTGGCTTTGGAGCCTGTCCTGGCACTAGCTCTGTAGACCAGGCTGGTCTTGAACTCACAGAGATCCGCCTGCCTCTGCCTCCCAAGTGCTGGGATTAAAGGCGTGCACCACTATCGCCCCGGCGATTCATATATTTTTAATTAAAATTTTTGCTCAGATCCCCATCAGTGGTATGCTTTTGAGTAAGTGACTTATCTTTTTAAACCCTCAGTTTCCTAATTTGCAAATTAGAAGGAATACTGCTCCCCTCCCCTCCAGGGCTAGTTCTGGAGACAGACTAAGATAACACATGCACGATGCTAAAATCACAAGACGTAGCACATTATTAGCTCTATTGCAATTGCTATGCTCCTCAGAGAGAACACTGTAAAATTCCTATGGTGCAGAAAACATTGAGAATTGTTTATGTAATCTAATCCCATTTCCAATATGGATATTCATCTACACTATTTTGGGCAGGAATTAAATAACCCAGTCATCCACTAGTGGGAAATGAAATAAGAGGACATGGAAGGAAGACTTCAAAAAATATTTCTAGAGAATTATCATCAGATACAGAACAAAACCTTGAGGAAAAACTTGATGGTAACCATCCACTCTGACACACAACTTCACTTTCTCAGAGAATCACAGAAAGGCATGAGGTAATAGTGCTCTACAACAAAGACTGAGGTTACCACACTGCGATCCACCTCTTCCAACAGGTTCACAACATTCCAATGGCATCATCGTAAAAGTTAAAAATGAAATTAGATTGCTCCCATTGTCTCTGAAATAGCTACTTAGCTGTGCTCTCTAAGGGGGAAAGTCAGGAGATGAGGCCAGACTAGTAAATCATGGTGACTATTTTCCATCCATGAAGCCACATGTGTAAGGTCCCAGTTTCTCAGAGTGCTTATGAGTGCAGTGGGTTCATACTGATACAGGAAGAAAATGCCTGGGATGGAAGGGTGGACAGGGACGGAAAGTTAGATCGGCACAGGAGCAGAAGAAAATAAATAGAGTCCACAT